ATGACACAATGGAAAAAATGTTCCTAACTTTTATAATGAGATATAATTTTCTATCCTTTAGTTATTTATATTGCCGTGTTTCTAAACTATAAGTATGGTATAGCCATGCATCTGAGTTCATGAAACTGTTTTGAGTACAAATCATTAAAAAATGTTTAAAAATAAACATCCAAAAATATTTACGTACAGAATATTTAAAGATTAAGACAAACATTTCATTTAAATACTATAATGGCCGTCTATTATATGTCAACACAAACGTTGTAAATATATAAACATACTTTAGCGCTTTAGGCCAAAAACTAATAAAATGTGGCTTGAAAATAGGTTCTTATTGAAGAGCAATGAATTGTCAAAGCGAATTAAAAGATTTTCTCATATATGAGATATATCATATATGAGATTCTCATCAGAGATTCATATCATTTTTGAGATTCTCATATATGAGATTCTATAGGATAGGTCTGAATCTATATTTATACCAGCAACGTACATTTGAATAAAAAGACGTCACGTAAATGTATAAATTGCAAATAATTTCTTAATAAAATGAGCAAAGGTGAACGTTTTAGGCGATTTTATATATTTTTAAATTAATTTTACGGTATATGGTTGGGTACAATTTCACACAAATTAAGGTTGTACATTTGTATTGTAGCAATTAAATGAATAATTGAAAGATTTCTTAGTAAATTTAAGTTCTTCGTTTCTTAGTAAAAGTAAAAAAAAACCAGTCCTTTTCTTGAGTTTTCATACGTGCATTATTTCAATATATATATTATTCACTTCCTTTTCATTCCTGTTTTTCCCTATTCGTCAAAGAAGTATATAAGTTTCTTCAAAACGGACATAACATCCCTCTGCGTCATAACATTGTATATGGTCCAAGAATGAATCCAAAAAGTTAATTGCTAAAGGCAAATTTTACTATAGAGTAAAAAGAAAAATGATTTTGAAGTGTCTAATTCAATGATTTCAGAAATTATCCATGACAGGTTAACAGACTGATGTTAAAATATTTCTTAATTTGACTGATGCTCCTAGTTAAAAGGGTTTTAACTTCAGTATATATTAAATAGATGCAAGTGGAATTTCAATGTACTTGTCTCTACTGACAGTGACGCTAACATTAACATATAATGCAGTGATAAAATTCTATTTTACCATTTCACAAGGGACATGATTTGCATGCAGTCAATACTAAAGTAATTCATTTTGAATCATACACTGTAAAAACGGATTGGTTTGTATTGGTATATATATGTCATGGCCAATTAAAATTGGTTACTTTGACAAATACAGTAAATACTGAATTGGTTGTATTTCAACCACATTTTAAGAGTTCATTCACGTTGACCATGACCATGCAGGATAACCAAGATTTACCAGACAAGAGTTTTATACTCATTGACATTGTTCAAACTTAATCCAGTTTTTCAGATCATTAATTTGATTGTTTTCGCGATTTAATTTTCTTTCGAAACTCACAGTTTATCTTCACACCATGAGCATGTGCCTATATTTGGTTTACTTTTTATAATTTCTGATTCTATAAACAGTTTTGGCTGTGTTTATGAATATAATTGTATTGTCGGTTTAAATCCCAAATCCAGTTATAGCAGCACACGTATTTTTAATATCGGCTTCTTGCTTTCCTGTCCTTTCTTTGTACATGGACAGTTGCCGAAACCACAAATTAATTTTATTACCATTAATAACTTTTCGCATTATTTTATCACGGCCAAATTTGGTAGTCGAATTTAAAGGTGTAAAAATAACAATTTATGTGGTCAGTGTGTCAATAAATCAGACCTCGGGCTTAGCAAATAATCATTTTATCAACTTACAACGTTTCGTGGAGCATAACTTCATCTTTCAAAAGTAGTCATCCGAAACGTTGTGAAATGATTATTTGCTAAGCCTGTGGTCTTATTTACTGACACTTGGAAGTGCAAAAATGCTGCTTGTATAGAGACATTTCCGTTATATACGATTTACTGATGTGGTCATTAGGACTTCTTTATGAAAAGTTTTGTCCAAAATATCTAATTGAATTATGGTATCTTTATATCCTATTCCATGTACAAACTTTGTGAGAACTTCGGATAACACAACATTATTGTATAAGCAGTAAAATGGAATAAGCAAAGCAGACAATATAGAGGGATCAAGGGAATTATAACAAGGCATATTTTGCAATGAGAACACTGAAACAAATCCGAAATATCATATATAGCTAGAGAACAAGGGAACTTGTAAGCTTGAGGAACAAGGAAACATTGTGAAATCTTTTGGAAAGGGAACAAAGGAAAACTTTCCAAGTGAGCACGGGAACCCACCTGGGTGAGTCGTATTTGAGTCAGTATATTTATTTTCTATATGTGAGTATTATTTATAGGTAATCTTTGTATTGACCAGTAACCAGAAAGTTTCTGTTACTGAAAATATTTTCAAAAACCTTACTATAGAAAATAGTATTGCATAATCCTACAGTTGAATTTAGACACTTCATGAGAGATCGCTGGAAATAGCATGGAAAACAGCCAAGTTCCATTGTAAGAATAAAAGATCCATGCATCCACTTATCTTAAAAGGAGTATCATATGGTGCGTTATATTATACTTGGGAGATAAGAGGCTTTTACCTTTTACATGTTATATATATAACATGTATTGTTACTATATAAACACCGTGAAAACCCCCCAATATGTCGCTTTTAGTACACTAAAATGCCACGTCGACAAATTAAATCTTTAAATTTATTTTTTCAGTACCTTGAGAAACAGTTATATAATTATAAACATAATGTAAACACATGAAATTGCCATGTTATAAACCCATGCATGGGCGAATATCCAAAGGGCGTTGTGTACATACAGGCGTTTCTACGTAAGTTGGTGCATTTACGTCTAATGCATGGGCGTTTTTATCGCAAAGGAAGTCAGTATATACTTCTTCAACGAAAATTCCTTGAACGTCATTTAATTTGGGGAAAACAGCCGGTTTAGAAGTGATATAGAACTATGTCCATCATATGATTAAAGTTAGTTTAGTTTTGTTTTTTCCTGTGACAGGACGAATAGGGTGTGATCCTTTGCTGGACCTCTAGAGAGAACAGTTTGATAGAGCTATCCAGTGTATGTTAAGTTTCCCAACTTCGTCTACGCTTATACTATAAATACAACTACCAGAACGCTTTTTCAAATGTTGAATTGCACGTGCAATTAAGAAAATACAGCACTATAGTCCTTTATATATATTAAATTGTCATTGACGTTGCCTTTTCAAATTTGTATCATGAGACCTGAGAATTGTGGGTCTATGTTATGTTTGATATTAGATTAAGGCCAGGATCTAACGTCGAACTTTTCATGTGCCGAACCTAATGTTAATTAGCTAAGTTCTTTGTTTCACTTCATTTGCATTAGATTCGACACATGAAAAGTTCTACGTTTGACCGTGGCCTAAGATGTTTCCATAGGTCAAGTACTTTATGCAAAGTGGAGGACAATGGCACTTACATGTTCGTAAGCTTTTGCATCAGTGGATCATGAAATTCTGCTATGCATATTTATACATGTTACACCTATCTTATATGACCCTTATCACTGCACCTTGCAAGGGCAAGGCACATCACGTAGCTTTGTCTTATAAGATATGATCTGTGATATAAAACTATGAATCCACTATACAAATTCTAAACGTGGGGAAACTGAAAATGCTAGAAATCCGGTGGTTAAACGATGTGTCTTTTTATCGCTGCGTCCCTATGCATCTATACAGGGCTACGATTCCTGCAATGTTCAGTTACCTGTTTATTATTTCGTCGTAGTTGCCTATGGAGTTTGGGAAGAATGCTGCCAGTTCGACTGCCAAACATATAGGAAGTTTCCTCCGGGTATACTTCTACTTTTTCGTGCATACCAACACGTATCAATTAGAGAGATGGCTCGATCTTGCCTCGGCTCCTACCTGATCTTTAGGGAAAACCAGTTTAAAAATAATTTATAAAAGCTCTCCAGTAGGAATATTATAGGTTCAGTCCTCTTGTGCATTAACACAAAATGATGCAATGAGCGATGCAAAAAGATCTAAGGGTGCTAAAATTTACCGCTAATTTCACTGTTTAATGTTAGAGAAAATTTTACACTGTAAAAATTGTACAGATTTTGTGTACTGCAATCAGTTGTCATGCGCATTGGCTGCTTGAATGAAAACAATGAAATATAATTGCGACTTTAAAGTCGTATTAAATGAGCGTTTCTCCACAGAATATTATTTTAATGCAGCATGGGCACAATCTGTCAAAAATGATTAATTTAGCTATATTATATTTCGTATTGCACAGAAGAATTCAAAACTTGTCATTAGAAGATGTAGTGATTCGATTTGGAATAGCGTTCCTATTGAATGGAGTGCTCGTTATCCGTTTGAACATCATAACTGTTGATAAGCTAGTGTGTATTTAATGCTATCAGGGAAAATGTAATGCTTCTATCAAAACAGATAAAATTGCATTGCCTCTAATCGATGAAAATCCTGGATTAGTGCTGACTGTTTAACATACACCCACAAAAAGTTAAATTTCTCTCGCCTTTATATCTGACGAAATCTATAGGTACTAGTGGTTTTTATGGATCTTCAACGGAGTCCCCTGTTTCGAAGGCTTTCTGTACATTCCAAAAGCGTGCCAATACTATGCTATTTCTGGAATGAGCTTGTGTTTATCCAATCCAGTTATAAATAAGTTTGATTTGTAGCAAATTTGTCATGAAAACAAAAAAATTGGACGCTATCTCGTCTGTGACGCACGAACGCCTACACCAGAAATAACAAGTGGACCTTAGAGTATTTTAGATTAGGGATATTTCTGATACAGTTGGGATGTGGGATTTTGTGCAATGGTTTTAGTGTGAAGGCTTAGTCATTTAAGGTTTAGTGCAGTTTTAACATAGCATCATATGCGTTACAGGCCAGAGTTCGAAATATTACATTGACGTCAGTTGTTACGTTAGTGTTTGAAGGGGTTTCCGGACTAGGGGCAAAACAAAACAATTTTCCACTTCTGATTCCAGCCCTCTCGAAATTCGAAAGAGTTTCAAACTCTCCTGTTACCCACAACAAAGAATTGTTGATGTAACTGACGCAAGCTAAGTCGAAGAGTGCTACTAGACTCTGGCGGAAAACATACTTGGAAAGTCCTCCAAAACACAAGCGCCGAAAAGCATCAAGTCAAACACTTAAACAATTTAGTTAAGATAACAAACCACTAAGGCTGATGGTTATATGCAGTCTTGGTCTTTTTTCTCTGGAAAATGGCTTTCTACAATTTTTTGCCTCGGGTGTCGACTGGCTTGATCGGTAGCTGGAATTAATTGATGCTATATTGAATTCTGATTGAGGCGGGTACTTTACTCTTTGTGGTCACGTGGCGTTTCGCGTGTGTCTTTGTTTGCCCAAGTTGCCCATATATTAATTGTCCACGCTTATACAATGTTCGTCAGAGAGTCGTAGATGCTTCAAACAGAAGGGTGTAGTTGGTGAGCTTCTCTTTGTCAGTTCGGTGAGGAAAAGGTAACTGAACATTCTGTATTGTGATGCATGCTTGTTTTTTTGTCAAATATTTGAAGAGCGGACAATTGGGAATTGTACCTTTTAAAATATTGTAGTACAGTTTTGTGACAGGAATGCTTTAGCTAAATATTTGAAGAGCGGACAATTTGGAACTTAATCTTAGCATTTGTAACAGGAACAATAATGCTCCTTTGCCTTTGGTGAAATATTTGAGGGAAAGTGCCCATAGCCCCTATGTGTAGGTCTACTTCCTACCAGACATGTCAAAAGAGCAAATTTTTATTACATTTATGTCACAGTCTGTGCTAAGGGATGCTTGGTAATATGCCAGCTCATAACCACTTTCTGTTTCAAAGATTTAGAACAAACCAGAAAATTCAAGTGGAATAATCGATGCTAATCGGCTATTGAATCTTTTGTTAACTATAAATTTCTTTATCAAAATCACTCAACGTTACAATACGCACAGTGTCAATTGGTGAAACATCAGCTAGCAGGGGCAAATGTACTGTAAACAAATTGTATCGCGCAACCGAGCATCTGCGCGCAGTTTTGATGTTCTCCATAATACATTTATTATTAAATTTTCGAAATATCACTGCGCGCGCATTTTCCAAAACTTTCAGCCAAGTATTTTTATGCACTTCTTCGTGTTTGCTTTATCGTACCTTAAGTCGCGTCCCGTGCGTCTCACACCGGGGTCTTTTCGCGTGCGTACTTTGATCACTTAGTCTTACAACTATGTAAATAGACAATTAACTTAATCAGTTTTAGAAAATCTGTGTTGAGACCTCCTGTATAGCGCGTTAGGCTATAAAGGAATCCCTTCTGGGACAGCGCCTCATTTTAATAGTAGCAGTGCGCGCAGTTTGGAGGAGCAGTAATTTAGCACGCGCATGCAGGGCATTTTATAATATTGGTAGGTTTCACCAAACACTGTCTTGCAGCAGTTGGCGGTTAGTTATCAGAGTGAAAAAATAATGTTAGTTCTTTTTGGGTTTCGCTAAGCTCTATATATCGTGCAGGAAATGGTGGTCATGAACATGAGAAAATAGTCCAGTTCATTTTTCGGGCTTCACAAACATTGTGAAGCAGATGGAATAATCAACTATCACTTATCAGAGTGAGAAAATACTCCTACTGCTTTTCATTCCACATGGGCTTGCTTCTATGTTTATGAGCCTGGTTTGCCTGGAACCTCGCCCGAGTGGGATAAATTATTTCTGCGTTTAGATGACTGTTTTTGTCGCATCTAATGTCGGTGGGACGACGGCTCGTTTCTATGATGTGACAGCAAATTGAATTTTCTATGTGTTAACAAATTACATGCAGATCTCACTCAAGTGAGTTTACCACGGTCAGGCGCTCATATGAATAGGTCCTATATATAGTTGTCTTGTATTTAGAAACAATAAATATAGTTGGGAGTTTAGAATTATCTTGTGCTTATCGCGGTATATCCACGTTTCTGAAGAATTGAAGTTGACCCTGGCACCATCAGCTGTCAATGCATGCAATGAAACCAAGCAATATGCCAATAATGTCAGGGTTTTTTTGTGCTTTTAGAACGAGTTCAAGACTCCTTTAAAGGTTGCTGTAGTTTATTCAGAAGTGTGAGCAGACTTCAATAATCCAAAGAAACCTTTTCTAATCAAGCAAAAAAGGTATTTAACATAGTCTCAACTGTTGGACAAAATGGCCGTGAGAACGCACTTCGCCGCTTTACTTTTTATTCTCGTCTCCGCTTTCTTACTCCGGCGCGTGACTTCGCTGGAAGAGTACAAATTGGGAGTATTGCTACCGTACAGTTATGACATGAATCGGGAATACCCACCAGCAGAAGACTATGCCTCGGCCATCACTGTCGCAGTCGAAAAGGTGAACAGTGATCCTACTTTGTTAAAAGGCGCAAAACTCAGTTACGTGTGGAATAATACGGCATGTAACCAGACTAAAATGGTGGAACAGCAACATTGGCAGATAAAACAGGGTGTCGTGGGTTTTGTCGGACCAAGCTGCCATGGGAGAAAAGCAGCAAAGATTGCAGAAAAACATGATTTGGCTGTCGTATCTTTTGTAAGTACTGACGTTTATATAATACAATTAATATGTTACCAATTTAAAGTTTCTACACGGTTCGCTTTTCACATGTTAATGATCCCAGCTCGTTATGTCATAAATGAAAAAATAGTGAAATCCACACTATGTGATTTGCAATTGCATCACCAAATCCATAGTATATCCATACTATATACGTATCGTAAGGAAATTGCATTTAGTATGAGAATTGGATTTCCATGCAAAGAAGATCCATATATTATTTTCATATAGTAAAAATTTTGAAAAAAATTCCCAGCTGTGAACACTCGGAAAATGAATTAAACACTGCACCCTAAATTAAAACATTGCTTCCTCAAACTCTGGTCAACCCAACTCATCAAGCGTTATGTTTTCTTCCCGCTACGAGAGACATTAGGGAGCTTTAGCAAGTAGGACGGCAACACCACGACGACGGCAACCAATACAATGAGTCAATGAAAAGAAAGAAATAATTAAAGTCCCAGGGGAGTTTCAGACGTAGTCGTCGCTCTGTTTACAACGGCAAATCACAGATTTTCACGTCTTTTATACAACGCCTACATTTCAAGCCGTAACAAGTGCAACTTAAAATTCGGTCAGTAGAACTCTTCCCAAACATAAAGCCAATGTTTTCAGCTTCTTATACTGTATTAAATTCATACGAATTATAATATACGACAAGTTTTCTTCACTACCATTTATTGAAGGAATTTGTTTTGGCCGTCGTCGTACAGTTGTCGTACAAGGCGTTGTACAGTTCTTACACGTGCCCATGAGAAATATTTGAACTTTGATCGATCGATTAAATATTCGCTTTAATTTGGATGAAGGTGAACGTGTTGTCTCACTAATTTATACATTGTTATTATTTAAATTTGTTTTTATATACAGTTATATTAGTAATGAGGGAGTCAATCTAAGACTCTCAGCTATCATGCTTTCTGTCTGAACTACATGAAAAAGATTACTAAACTGACAAGTCGCCGTTTCTGGCGAAGACCCGATGAGCCTTCAGGGCGGGGGCGGCGCTGATTTAAGGAGGCCTTGAGATATGAACTACCAGAAAAATGTTTATCCTAGGTTCCTTAGTTTAAGTAGTTATGTTATAAAATTTACAGTTTTGTCTTAGTAAACTGTAATCAATACGGGGTTCATTAGTCAGAATGCCATCCTGGATATAAGGAAGAGTAGCATTATATACTGCATGGTGTGGCTTAAAAACTGCAATAACTGTATTTTAATTATATAATATAATAATAATAATTTATTAAGAAATACTTTACAATATGCTGTTTAAAAATATTACGTTCTATGTTACATGATAAAAAATTAGACTAGCTGTTCTTAAAAAATTGTCTATTATATTAATAGTGTTTGTTCTTTTTATTAAACAACAGTTCTAAAGTCAACGCAAAATTTTATCAAATTAGCAAAATCGTGTTACATTGATCGAATATTATTTCGGTTTTGATAAGAATTTAATCGGGTTGCTCAGCTGAAACTAAAGGGGGGGGAGCTGAGCGCTTAGCACCCATAGCCCCCCTTCCACTACACCGGCCCCCGAGCAATTTGGCTTCGCGTCAAGCGCGAAAATGGTTTTAGGTAAATATTATTGTTTTGTTTTGTGGAAAACCTGACGTTTACTTTACTTGGCAATACTCTCGATCCCTAAGCCCGGATCTTCGTCAAGGAATTATACCTTCATTCGACCCCCACGGTTGCGTAAGTTTGTAAAACTTTCTCTCTTTTCAGTCCGAGTGGAATATTTCCCAATTTTTAAGATTGCTTTTCAAACATATGGAACGGTCGATTGCTGAAAGTTCAAAATCTCGCTCGGTTAGAATTGCAAGAGCGTTTTCTTGGCCACAAACAGACTGGCATGCATGGATTGAAAATCATACAATAGGTTAAAAGTCCATTTTTTTTTTAATTTTAAAATTTTTTTTATTAAAGCGTTTGCCAAAAATACACACAGAGGAATTGAGAGGATTTTGGCTTTTTTTAAATGTATATGATGACAAATATGGCTAATATTTTCAATTTAAATTTTCATAAACACCAAGCTCATTTAAGTGGTAAAAAAGTGCATCATGGCAATGTATTTCTTTTTCCGGTTTGAAGACTGATAAGATAGTTTGTCCTCTTTCCTCGGGAGCTTGATACATTTCATCCTACATCAAAATTCCATCAGATTTTAGGACATCTCATTTAAAACATTGACGAAATGAACATTACCAGAAAGTGAATAAAACAATACTAGTTTCATTTGCTGAGAGTGATTCAGCGCTCTTCCCTTGACGAGTAAAATCGTTTGGCCGGCATAAAGTAGGGCGCATCAGGGTGCATTCCAACTTAATGTGTTAATGTACAGAATGAAGAATAAAGGACCTAAAATAGATTAATGCGTAAGAAAAATTAATGCCTCACACATAACGTCGAGTATTTTTGTGATGAAGAATTTTTTGACAAATTTACAGGCTCGCCTATAGCTGCTCTTTTGTGTATCAAAAGATTGAAATTTGGTCGATTTGATTTTGTTCTCATAGTCTTGGATTGTTTCTAGGGGCAAATGAAAGTTAACGTTTTGGAGTGAAAATCTGCAGTCCAAAAATTTGTTTAAATATTATTTTCGATCATTACATAAATTAGCAAGTCTTCTTTTCGGAGCTTTTCCTTCTCAAAAATAGCTGGCATCACTTTACACATACATTTTATCGTATCATAGTCGTGAGCACACAAATAAAATTTGCCAAGTGAATATTTACAAAGGGGAATTGTTGTCTGTACTGAAGAGATTTGAAGACTTTATACAGCGTGCATGTACACGGCTCGCGGGCGACTCAACCACGATGTCATTAAAAAGAAATTTCCTGTATTAGACACCGTTTCTGTGGTATATTTTACCAACTTTGTGAAATTAATACAATTTTGGGGGTTAAAAGGGCGTTAAAAGGTCAATGTGTGGGAATTTTTGTAAAACACATGTCGTGTCGCAAAACTTGTCCAATCCGATATACTCTTAAAAGAAAAGTATGTCTGAAACAGTTATTTTAATCTTCGTCTAAATACCCGAAATCCATCAAGGGTACCGATAATATTAATACGTTATTAAATCCAGAAAAAAAATATAGTGGCTTTTTTTCGAATCTTATGTTACGTAGTTGTTATAAGTCTAATAATAATATAAACGCTATTGATGCATGGTCGCTAATAAGGCCTAATAAAGACTGTTTTGCATTAGGCTGAATTTTACCTTCCTTTGGCGGTATGATTTTGCTGACGTAATGCGATGCCGACAAAGGAATAAATTAATTCGCGCGCGCGAACGGGATGGGCCTTATAAATACGTACTTAAAACAAGCCACGCTTTCTAGTGTTAGCTCGAAAGTTCCAGGCTTAGTTCCAAATGTTTTAAATTTTTGGAGTAGTTCAGACACCAACCATTAAAAGTACATGCCTGTGAATTTAGCAATTGGTCATTTGAAAGTATACTCCCTTTTCCTATAGCGGGCGGTAATTCTCCACATAATTTAGTAGCCAGGAAATATAAGATTTGGTAAACGAACATGATAGCCCTTGTTCATAAATTATGCCCCCCCCCTCTCCAAAATTTTAATATGGTAATGCCAGTGACCTCTATATATATTTGCGCCGGTTTTTGGAAGACCGGATGGTGATTTTTTCAGCCTTTGTAAAATTGCTTGAAACACTATATAAAACTGTGGATATGGACTTGTACTTGATTAGTTGTGCTAAGTATGAAAGGTTCGATGGTCCCTTACTTTAAACAGCCATAATATTGTTCTATAATACCAATTTTAATAGTCTTTAAATTAAGTGACAACATTTAGTCATCTGTTTGATTAAATTTTCGATACCCACTGAATTAACTGTGTAAAAATTTGGAACACAGCTATTATGTACATTTTATTTGTAATACGTTCATCTGTCTGTCTTTTACTAAGATCCAATCGAATTATTTTTCTAGGATTGTCAAGACACGCATGTCTCGAACAAAGAACTTTTCCCGAACTTCGCTCGTACCAATCCTCAACACAGCAAAGCCGCGTTCAAAATTCTCGCCCACCTGAAGACAAGCGGCCTGAAACGAGTGAACATCGTTTATCAGGATAACCACAAGTTGCTTTCATTCAAACGATTTTTGTCACACCTGTTGAGGCGCAGTGGTGTTAAGATTGCAAGCAGCAATAAAGTGGACCTACGCACTTTCTACCTTGGACCGCTGCCTAATTTTTTGCATACCCTTCCTTCTACATCGCAAGGTAAATGTCTGAATAGTTACTTACATTAACAATCATTTAGAATTATAAAGTTTAGTGCATACATGCAGTTTCCATATGTGTCACTTTCTGATAAAGTCAAAGTTGATTATTTGCACCACTATTGTCACTTAGGTATTCTGACCAGATTTTCCTTAGTCTGCCACCGTCTAAATTTTTTTTATTTTCCTTTACTTTCAGCAACGATCTTGGTGACCTCTTTCGGTATAGCACGAGAAATCATGTACCATTTCCAAGCTTATCTTGAAAACAATACTACTCCTATCTTGTACTCAAAACATAACTTTATCTCCGTACCTCTGGAGAATATGAACCGTAATGTTTTGTACCCGTTTAAGTGGTTTTTCAGCGAGTTTGAAGAGTCCACTCCGGAAAGAATGAACATGACCCAAAGAGCTTTTAAGAGGTTACTGGTTGTTAGTGATGTTATTGATCAGGAAACAAATGAGTTTAGGGTGTTCGAACAGAAATTAAAGAAAAAAGCTTCGGGAAAACCTTGGTTTAGCAAGACATACCAAGGATGTCTCTTCTTTGGTGGAAAGTGCATTTTTGATAAATCAACTTCAAAGGTGAGCACCTACATTCTAGCTATGAAAATACTAAAAATACTTGTTCATTTAACAATCATCAACCATCAGCGACGTTGAAAATCGTCAAAATTCATAGTTACTGCTGTTGTGATGATGTAATTATCAAGCATTTAAATCACAAAATAACTCACTTGCCTGGTTACCACTGTTCTAATGATGTAAGCATAGAATGGAACGGAACAAGGCATGGAAGCATGGAAGCGATTTGGGTGGCAAACGGAATGACGTGCTGAGTTAGGTCCTTTAGCAACGCCTTAATTGTCGTGTTACTTAAAGAGTCCTGGTCAACCACAATGCAATGCGCGCTTTTGTTTACGTTTTCCCGTTACTTTTTTCAGTTGTTGCCGCCATTTTCGAGGCGACAAAAATGGCTGCCTCTGGCCCACAACGTGACAGAAACGTAAACAAACGCACGCATTGCATTGTGGTTGACCTGGACTCTTTAAAGCCTCTCTGTTCCATGCATCACAAAAGTCAACTCGCAAGCTGGCTGCGACTACTTTCAACCAAATGCTCGACAGTTTATTTTAATACAGTCTTCCAAATACTACTTAGCCGTGGCTACATAGTGTCTCGTTTCTGTGTTTGAGCCTTGTTTCTATGTTTTACAAAATTATAAACGGGTCTTTTGTACCTGTAACAAGATACGACTGACCACTTCGCAGGCCTCAGAGTGACAAAACCTAACAAAGCAACGGTTTTACTAACACTAACCCAATTCCAAACACCAACTCTAACCCTAACCATATAATCCTAACCCCAACCCTAACCTAACCCTACTCCAAGTTTATTTCTAAACCAATCTTGAAGAGAAAGGTTTTGACGAAATGTCATTCTGAGGTCAGCGAACTAAACTTTTACTTTCCAGAAAGGTGTATTAGATACAAACACTCACAGCGAGCTAGCGAGTTGATTTTTGCGATGAGTGGCGAAGGGCCTAGCCTGCATGGCAGGCGGTCCCTAAAATCGGGCAAGCCTGGGAAAGACCGCCTGCTGGGTTCGGCAGTGTAAACGAATTCTCTGAGTGACACAGTACATGAACATTATACACCTAATTAATACTCTCCTGAGCGATTATACTTCGGTAATCCAACAAAAAACACGCATTTAGCTTTTCCAGACTATTATAAAAGTGTAAATCCGTTATCACAACAGTTGAGCATGCTTGAAATACCATGCACGAGTTGTTCTGAAGCTGCATTAGCGCTAACCCTAAATTTAACCGTTTTAAATAATTGTGTTTTTCTGCATGCACGCCGTTTATTTCAAAACGTCGAAAAAGGATTTCCAAGTTTATAAACAAGTTGTTGGGAAGTTGTACTGCTGACTTCCCGAGAAGGGGGACTTGAAACGTCGCGGAATTTCTCCTTGTATTTTTCATGTAGATGCATCCCTAACAATCCGAATCTTTCTTATTCAGGGCCGTTCGTAGCGGTCTTTGAAATCCTTGAAAGTCTTTAAAATTGAATGCAGGTCTTTAAGGTCTTTGAAAAGTCTTTGCATTGTGTGAAAAAGCGAAGAAAGTCTTTAAAAGTGTTTAAATTTTTTAGTGAGTATTTGATTATACGATTTCCTAGCTAATAAAATAGATTGATTGAAGCAAGATTTTCGCAAATATCGACGAAAAGGGGCATTTTAGGATGTGATTTGACGCGACTAATTGCCGGGTAAAAATGATGCTTACAGTCGCAATTTTTCGACAGCTGATTGCTCTCAAAGGTCTTTGAAAAGTCTTTGAAAATAGTGAGCAAAAATCTTTGAAAGTCTTTGAATTTTTATGGTCTTGGAGACTACGAACCCTGTTATTATCGCGCCTCGTCCTCATACGAAAGCCCTGGGAATGAGGTTGGGCACTACCTACCCTGGTACAGACTGTTCATGATTATAATCTAGGGTTAAGCTAACCGGCGTTCGAACAACCGGCGCATGCGCTATCCCGTTATATCAAAATATCTCATTTTTCCCATTGGCATTGCACTCTATCTGACGTATATGATTTGTTTTCCAGATTCCGTTGAAAGGCGCGTACTTGTATGATGCAGTCATCCAGTTTGCTGCAGCCTTACATGAATTACGCGAGGCTGGACTGAAAACGACTGGGAAAAATGTCGTTAACAGACTAAAAGGAAGGCACTTTATAGGTATGACAAGAATTCAATAACCCTATAAAGCCTGCATGTTTTTTTCATTTTTTTTCGTGCGAAGCGGATCTTTCCTTTGTCGGCATCGCTTATCACGTCAGAAAACGCGATGCCGACAAAGTAAAAAGTAACAAATTCGCATGGTGGAAAACCCTGATTAAGCCTATCCTACAAGCATTATATGCTTTTCTTAATCCTGAATCAGTAAACTAAACCTTTTTTATACTGAATAGCTCTACGATCGCCGAACTGTTTCCGTGAAACTGAACTGTTTTTCTGTTGTTTTCCCTCGTACTGAACTGTACTTGAAACCGAAACTGGCCGTTTCCCTGAGAAGCCGGATTTTGCCTTTTTTTACATCCACCCGCACTTAAGAAACAGAAGACCAATACTCAGGCAGTCAGGCTAGCATTCTACCAATACACCCTTTCGATAATTACGTTATTTGGCCTTGGAGCCTCGCTCTCATGAATCGTGAGCCAATCATCTTGCGTAATTTACTAATGAGAGCTCGGCTCCAAGCGTAATTTACTAACGAGAGCGAGGCTCCAAGAGCAAAAAGTATGTGTGACATAATTATTGAAAAGGTGTATTGTATCTAATCAGATAACCACAATTATAATTTGTTCCAAGTTTGACAGTGTAAAAATTATTATTTATCTGAACTTGTGCTTTGATTCTTTAGGTGCTGATGGTCATCAACATAAGTTCGATGAGAATGCCGATGTAGTATATGATTATACAGTCTTGGGTCTGAAACGGGACAAGAATAATGAATTAAGTATGTTGATTATGAGATCATGCATATCCACAAGTATCCTCCATATCCACAAGTATCCTCCATATCCACAAGTATCCTCCATATCCAAAACGTCCTTAGCAATCATTAGCAATCATACATTTGAAATTGACCACCATATGTATCTACAGGGGTGGGAAAAGTATCGGGCCGCAGGACGATTTATCCCAGAAAATTTGTTGAGTTCCCATGCAGAAAAGATTTCCCCAAGAAAGAAAAAAAATAATTGCCAAAATTTAGACTATTAAAAGGAGAAATTCAGGAGAAAAGTTCTAACCAATAGAAAGAATGTTACTTGTACAATGACCTCAGAAATTCAAATATAAATGTATCTATCTTTTAATAGTGCAATAGTGTATAAATGTTTTGACCATAGAATGTTGTATAGCAAGTGCATTTTTGCCAGTTTGAGACACCTGATTTCCAATATTTTGGAGGGAGCATGTTCTCAGATAAAATATTAAGATTCTCAGTGCACTGAATTTTTTTCTGTTAAAATATAGCATTTAAGTTTCACAACTTGTATAGTGTCACACAGATAAAGCGGATTTTCAAACATTTTTGTGATCCCTGAAAGTAATTTTTTTTTCCATCCCTGCAGATTTATATACAATCAGTGCCATTGTTGACATGTAATTTTTCAATTTATTTAGATATGCTGCCAATGGTTTCATACAACAGAATCCTTGAGAAGTACAACAGAATCTAAGGACCAGACTATTATCACGTGCATCGAAGAAATGATTAGATAGAGACATCACTATGGTAGTTAGACCTGAAGCCATGAGCAGAATATCCAATGTTGTTTGACGCAACGAACACAAGCATGGCTACTATAATACCACTAATAGTTACGCTGTAGCCCTAGTATAGTTGCACTTATGTTCGAAATATTAAAATGAAACTAGCTAGCACTAACATTGTTCAGTAGAATAAAGAAATCTGCCATTACATCTGTGATTTACCAAATATAATATACTATATGAAGTTAAACAACATTCGATAGTTTTGTTCTAGGCTTTGGAAATTTATTGGTCGTATATAATGCAAGCACCAGCTTGCTGCCATATATGGGCCCTGGTACATTGTGAAGATAGTATCTGTACCACTGGTCTGCGAATGTTTGGTTAGAAAAACTATGGCATTAATTTTGTCTAAGTTTGTTGTGGACTTGCACTTCTTACCCAATTAGACGATGTGCAACCACGTCTCGGAATTTAATGAGCAAAACGATTTTCGCCTGATATTGGATGAAAATAAAATTGCAAATCAGTGAAAATCCTTTGTCAAACAGTAAAGCAATAGGATGCTGTAGGCTGCAAACAACCAAATATGGTTTTTGGTATATTTAGTTATTTGGGTCATTCTGGGGAAATGTTCATCAAGATCAGTTTTTTTTACTATAAAACATTTCTTTTTTAGTAAAAATGAATGAACCAAAATATTGCACAATGAACCAAATATTGCACATACCAAAAATGATATATGGGGTTAGTTAAGCACTTTTATCTGACCAAGCTTTAATGACAATTAGTTGTATACGATACTTTCATGTGAATAACTTTCAAATATCATTATCTGTATGTAGTTTATAGTATTATATAGTTATTTTACGTTTTGTGAGTAAGCTTATAGTCTTGAACAGTTTTCGACACTGAAAATTGTTATTGTACATATATGTTAGTAGTACAAACACCACATATAATGGTCGCACGTGCACTTGCACATTCTATTTAAGAGAGATGTATTAAATCACTTCAAGCAATACTGCGCTCTTCTATGTTTTGCCAAAATTTATGGA